TGCAAGGAGAAGGCATTTACAAGAGAGTAGCTGTGTTCTTCTTTGAGGATTGGAACCTCTTTGGGGTAGTGGTCAGGATTGCTCCTCGCAGCGCTGGGGCTCTGGGTGCAGTTCCAGTCCTGGGGTGCTATCTGCATGGAGTTTGTACGTTCCCCCTGTGTTTGTGTGTTTTTCCTCCCGAGCGCTCCGCTTTCCTTCCGCAGTCTAAAGACATGCTGGATGGGTAATCGTCTTCTGGGAAAATGGGTCCTGGTGTCAGTCTGTGCCCTGTGATGGACGGGCGTCCCATCCAGGATGTATCCTGCCTTGTGCCTGTTGCTTGCTGGGATGGTTAGAAGGTGGATGATCCCCTTTTGGTTTTGAGACCAAACACCCCTGTTGCTTAGACAAGCTGTGTGTCCTCGGTGCCAGCTAAGCCTTATGAACTGGTGCCTGTCTCTCCGGCGGCAGTGAGATCGGACCGCTCAGGGTCCGGGAGGAACGGGGGACAGTGGGAACCTCAGACTCACTGGGTGGGATTCTTGGCTTGGCCTGCGGTGGCCCTTAAAAGAAACCAGACAAATATGGTCTCAACAGAACTCGGCTACATCGGAGCCTGAGGAGGAGACTGGATGTGCACTGAATAGCAGCCTGGAAACCCACAGGCTGCTGTGGTGGGCTGACACTGCCAAAAGAGGAGGGGGTGTCCTGGCAAGGGGGACAGAATTGGAGGGGAAACCAAAATTAGAGGCACTTATACAGCACCAAAGGCTTCGTTGTGATGTATTTTAAAATCTGCCATAACCCAGTGTCCTAGAATAGGCCGCAAATATTCCATATTAATTAAGGGACGCTGTTTTTAGATTTCAGCATGTTTGCAGAGCTAAGTGTATGTTTACATTCCCGTTATATTGTAAGAATTCAGGTTCATAAACTGTGTGTGCATTTAAGTGTGGTTTTTAAAAGCTAGCATCATCACACCTTCGTCAGATATCCTATACCTAGTGTTTAGATCATGGATTGAATAGGACAAACTACATACTGAAGACTTTAAACCAGTTTCAGAAAATACACATACTGTATGTCTGCAGCTTTTTTGCAGGTTGTTAAATGTAGACAGGAAACAAAAAGATTAACTTTGTAATTCAATTATGTTAAAATTTGTGATTAAGGCACAGTTCAATTTCCATTGTAGGTTAAACAAAATGTTAAACAGAGGTGTTAATTAATTCCTCTCCTCTCTCTTAAAAGGCTGGTTGATGGTGTTGGGTATTCAGTTTCATCTGAGCTTAATTTTTGAAGCTAAAATTCTAAATGTGTTCCAAGATGGCACAAATTGTCCTTAAGTAGGGGTTGGTGATACAAAACCAAAAGCAAGTAAAGGCCTTGAAGAGTTTCCACTTACCACGAATCAGACAGCAAAATGGGAAACACATGGAGTTCGATTGGATCTTGGGATGCAAGAAGCTTTTCTGTTCTTGATGAGATCGCATCAGATAGCAGTGAAGTTGAGCAATAAACCTACAGCCCAGAGGAAATGAAGAGTTTAAATTGACTCATCAATGGAAAGCCATTAAAAAAAGGCCTGGAAAATACTAGATTTGTTGGTGTCTGGGACAAGCCACACCATTAAAGGTGATGCCCTACTCTCAAGCCTTCAGTAAACAGCTGGAATTGATACTTGGATGAGCTAAGCAAGATTCAAGTGAGAAAGATGGGTCTCTCTCATGCCGCATGGCCAACAGGAGAAATCTGTGTCAAAATTTATAGGCTGTTTTCTTCTGCTCTTCTGCAGCCGAGAAAAAAAGAGAAAAACACACACAAAGCAGGGCAGAGTGGAGGAATTCATGCCCTGATTTTGATCAAGGAGGCCTTTGTTTGCCAAAGTTATCTGTTTACTGTTAGAATTTATTTACAATGGGTCGGGCTCTTCACTTGGTTGGATGGTTGGGACTTTCTCTTGCAAAGCTAATCAGATCGCAAAGGAAGGGTTTATGATCAAAACCCCTCATCTTCCCTAATTAATGACCCTCCCCCTCCCTGATCTGCATGAGGACCACCCAGCTTTGACACACTCCCAGGGAAGTTTGGCAGAAAGAGCTAAAGACATTCTGGGCACTCAAAGCGCTTTCCAGACATTATGAGTAAAATAGGAAAAATAAAGTGCAGAATGAAAAGAAGGTGGAAAATGTAGTCAGAGGAGGTCATTAAAAGCCATATCTGTGTGTTTAGCATGAATACCACTGAATTATTATCATATTTTTTGTTTGTTTTTTGGTTTGAACTGAATAACGTGCACTTATTTGACCATGTATGTTTGTGGTTGCTGTAGAGGACCGAGCTAATGCGATGGTGTGGTTTATTAGGTGGGGTTCTTGGTTCAGATCGTAATGGTGCAGGCAGCATGACTGTAAGCTGTCGGGGCACTCTGCTCTCATGCAGGGCCAGGCTGGTTTCAGAGGTCCTCGCTTTCTTTGCAAGGGAAGCACCCAGTTATGCATTGGTTCAAGTGGAAATCCTGGCCCACTCAGTTGCACTTGAGTATGCCTTGAGGAGATACAATTATCAAAGCCTGTCCAAACTGCAAGAGTAATGACCCTGGTTAACTGCCTGCCTCCTCACTCATTAACAATGCTGTCAGTTCTCCAAAGACTTTTTCATCAGTCTCTCCCTGACAAGGAGCAGCCCTACTTTGCTGCAAGATGTTGTTTTCTCAATTTGCAGATGTGATGATTACCCACAAGCTGGTGCTCTTTTCTGTATTGATGGGTGTGAACTGGTGCCAGTCTCTGTCAGCACTGGCGGTTCAGTTTCAGAGCTCTGTTGCTTCTTGTTGAGTTTTAACTTTATGGTTAGTGTTATTTCTCTAGAGTCTTTCAAGCGATTCATAAAGTGCAAATGGAAGCAGGAGAAAAGAATCATGAGGACTGCTCTTCTCTGGAATAATTACACAACAGCAATGTTTTCATAACATTGTGTACGTACACAATTGTACACAGTATTCTAAAGGAGATCTTAATAGAGCATTGCACAATTAAATCCTAAACTATTCTAGAATTTTGCTTTTTTTATTGCTCCCCTCCATTGTCTAGATTAAGATGTAAAGAATAATAATTGCTTACACTTATATAGTGCTTTTCTGGACACTCCACTCAAAGCTCTTTACAGGTAATGGGGACTCCCCTCCACCACCACCAGTGTGCAGCCCCACCTGGATGATGCGACCGCAGCCATAGTGCACCAGAACACTCCCCACACATCAGCAATCAGTGGGGAGGAGAGCAGAGTAATGAAGCCAATTCAGAGATGGGGATTATTACGAGGCCATGATTGGTAAGGGCCAATGAGAGATTTGGCCAGGATGCTGGGGTTACACCCCTACTCTTTTCGAGAAACGCCCTGGGATTTTTAATGACCACAGAGAGTCAGGACCTCGGTTTTACATCTCATCCGAAGGATGGCGCCTGTTTACAGTATAGTGTCCCCGTCACTATACTTGGGCATTAGGACCCACATGGACCGCAGGATGAGCACCCCCTGCTGGCCCCACTAACACCACTTCCAGTAGCAACCTTAGATTTTTTAGAAGTTACTCACAGTCCAGAACACACAAAGAACAAACCAGAACAGAACAGTACACAAAAAGTTGTATTGCACAATATATTTTTATTTATATTTATAAATGTATTGCACACATCTCATATATTGAGAGTAGCATATATTGCACCAAAACGGTTGGAAAGTGGAAAAAGAAAAAGAATCCTGCTATTTTGGTATTATCTGCAAACTTGACTGCTTTAACTACAACAGATTATAGATTGTTGGTATAATAAGGTTTTAAGAAAAACATAAGCCTCTTAAATCTTTGGAATGTCCTAAGAGAGACACCTGATGTAGTCAAGTAATTGTCTCCCCAGTCTGAGCATTTTCTCTCATTCTTTTACGGTAAAACTGCACTAAAAAAGCAGGACGTTGTCTGAGACAATGAAACATCTCTTTCATCTCCTAGTGTTAACACAGCCCTGGTCTTAAGCAAATCTTTGCTAAGTGAAGTGTTCAGGTTTGTAAACAAAACTACAGGTTAGCTTCAGGTGTCCTGGCACTTCCTGGCTTCCTGTTTGTTTGAATCTGTGAGGAATGGGAAGCATAACAACACTTTTGTCTGCTGTGTGATTCGCCTGTTGCTGGTATTCAGCTGTATTTGCTTACCAGTGGAGGTGTTAGGAGTGACATCACTTCCTTTCACTGTGCCAGAGGCCAGCCGCCACACCCCCTTCGTCGGATTAACACTGATCCCAGGGAGTGGGGCTGATCCCTAGTTAAAACAAACAGACTTCAACTGGACAAGCAAGCTTCACCAAGCAGCAGTGAGCTGACCTCGGTTGTAATTCATTTCCTTAGAAGGCGCCTTTATCAAAAGAATTCCTGCACTGTACAAAATGAACGCAGTGAAGAGAGGTGTACATGGATATGCTGTAGAATCGATGGGTACAGTCCAAGGGGGCAGGCAGGGGGAGGAGGGACAGCCAGGTGGCCAGCAGCAGGTGTCGGAGAGGGTGCCAGGCTGGGAGGAGAGCAGCAGGGCGAGGGACACCCTGGTAGAGGCAGTGGTGGAGAAGGATGAGGCTCCTCAGTGGGCTGAGAGCAGGGAGTGGAGCCAGGGGCCCCCTGTGTGAACAGCGAGACAGAGAGCAGTAATCAAGCTTCTGGGCGAGATGGGGAGGGTGGGGTGTCAATGGCGATGCACTCAAGCCAGTTATGAGATGTTGCAATGATCCAGCCTAGAGAGAACAAGGACTTTGACAGACTGAGTGCGGCACAATGTTAAAGGGTGAATGAAATACTCTAGATGCTCTTTTGAGGTGGTTTGAGCCTGCCAGGCCCGAGATGTGTTGACCATATGAAAAGGAGGGACCCATTTTGTGTCATTGTCTTGCTTTTTTTTTCCCCAAGACTAAACTCAGTCCTAATCTCTTGTAGAGTGATCCCTTCCTATGATGTGGATTTCTGTTTAAATACAGGAGGCTGAACAGGATGGAGGAGAGGACGAGGAGGAGGAGTGGGGAGACTTAAGCCCAGAGGAGAGGAGGCAGCTGGAAAGAAAAGTGAAGAAAGAGATGAAGAAGGAGGAGAAGAGGAGACTGAAGGCAACCGGGGTGACGCTGGAGAAGCCCGAGCCCTCTAAAGCGACTGCTGCCGAGCTGGCTCTGGACTACCTCACCTGGTAAGATGCCCTGCAGCCCAGGAGAGAGTGAGAGTCCGCCTGTCCTGCAGGTTCACAATCACCTGTGCCTGAACATTCTTCTCTACAGTGCAGTTTGCTCTTCATTTTCTTAAATGACTTGAGGTGCAAAAATGGGAAAACAGCAAAATATTTCCTTTAACAAGAAGGCAAAAAAAATATTTATACATAATTTAAAGAGAAAGAGAATAGCTGGAATTAACAATACTGGAGCCAAAGTCTTCAAGGAAGCAACAAAGCTTTGAATATTCTCCGTCTCGATTCAAACCGAAAAAAGGCGGCTTCATGAATTTGCGATGTCTTTCATTTAAGCGCAACAATAATTCAAAACACATTTTGAAAGCGAACCAGTCCATTTCTGCTAAATAGAGAAAAGCTGTATACACTGTCGTAAGAGAATCCAGACCGGGAGGTTTTCGAGATTGGAAAACCGTTGTCTGATTTTTTTATTACCCCACACTTTTGGGACAACTTTTGTTACTCCAAGAAGTATCTCACTTTGCACTATTTCCTCTGTTGTTACAGGTGAAAACGTTTACACTTTCTTTTGCTACAAGTTGAGCACTGTTAGCTTAACAGTACTTCCCAATTGGCAGTCATGCACGTCACCATCATTTAACGTTTGTTGAAAGTAGCCACACCGATCCATAATGCCTATCGAAAGAGAGCAAAACATTGCCCTGGTCTCGATCCAGACATCCTTAAAAACCAGAACTGCATTGAAGTTCAGGAGAAGATGTTTTTCATTCTGCTGAAGTGTGACATAGATCTCCAACACAATTAACTTGGAGCAAGCAAGTCATAAAGCATCTTCCCCCTGGAGCCCGAAAAGTATATAGCCGAGTCTAGTTTTTATGTATTTGGCTAGAGCCTGCAGTCAGTTGTAATTCTCTTGCCAAGAATGTGCAGAGAAATGAAATTTAAACTCGGCTGGCCCAAGGAAACATGCCCAGGCTTCCAAGAACGGTTAATGTTTAGTTGGGATGTTTGCGGTGCTGGCTTTGCTTTCACTCAACGCTGTTTCAGAAAAATAAAGCGATTAATTCTCAGAAGCAGCGATGGAAAGTTGCTGTCTTCAGATCACACTTCTGTCTTTCTTTGAGCACCCATAAAAACCTGAACCTCACAGGAGGGCTTGTGGAAAGGGACATCTGTAAACAAGCCCTCATAATCGCAACTCTATTAAAATCTTCAAACAAATGACCTGCTTCTGTCTTTGGGAGTAAAACAAAGAAATAAATTGGATTTATTTTGTAAGGTTTGAGCCAGCTCCTATATCTAGAGACGCCTCCTGATAAGACTCACATTTCTGTCTGTGCTAAATCTGATCAGGACCTTGTACTGAGTCAATTAGTTGGATGCATCAAAACTTTCTGTAATTCAATCTACAGGGGATGCAACCTAGCATCTTCTGACTTCAGTGACCCCAGTCAGCACTAATGTTATTGACAGGTCTGAGAGACCTGCTGATGTGGGTCTATAACCTTGGTTATTAGTCTCTTTATGGATCTGCCAGGGACAGCAGTGTGGAGTAGGGGTTAGGGCTCAATACTTCCAAACCAAAGGTTTGTGAGTTCAAATCCTGGGTGGGACTGTGCTGTTGTACCCTAGAGTGAGGCTTTTTGCTCACACTGCTCCAGTAAAAGCCCTGCTGTACAAACAGTTCTCTAGCCAGCTCATTCTTGTGAACACTTGCTCTTAATTTTCTTATCTGGTTACATAAAGACTTAAAATGAAATGGGTCCACCAAAAAGGTTAAAGTTCACAGTGTTAAAAAGAGCCTTTGTTCAGCTTTGTGTTGCAGTTTTACACCTTTCTGAGTTCTGACGCTGTGGTATTATTGCTTTCATCACGCCAGCACTGTAAGGTCTGTAAGGCTTGATTCTGGTGCTGAGGGAAGGGAGCGATGTGTTGAGACACCTGCTGCTTGTGTTCTGAGCAGGGAATGTCAAGGGCGCCTTTGTGACAGAACTCCACTGGTCCACTGGTCGCCAGTGAGTTTTCGATTTGATAACATTTCTCTGATGTTATCACTCACTTGCACAGCACCCCTATTGCAGATTTCATTGGACCCTGTTTTCTGTCAGACTGTCTGTGTGCTTTTGTCAAAGCCAGTTTCCAGTTTGAGGCAGCACTCTCAGCTTAACAAGGCATGTTATGTATATGCACCCATACTCTGAAAATCACTACCCAAGCTCTTTGGAGACTCGGGGACTTTTATTCTCATTTAAAAATGCATGACTATTACTATTAAAGTTGTTTCTTCTGTGTAGTTAAATTTTAATAACTTGCATTTTAATAAGTTACTGACTTCTTGTAGTCACTGATGTCTGCTTATTTTACTGCTGTTCAATGCCTAGAGTTGTCTAGCTATGAAAGGAACAGTAAATGAAATAAAGGAGGTGTTGTTCATGGCACGTGTGAATGACAAAAGGTTCAAGGATATGTTCAGATCTGCTGACCAGCTTGGGGGAGTTGGATACATGAATGGACAGTCGAGTTGTGCCTTTATTGAACTACAGTGGTGCATTGTGAAAAGTTTTGATGTCTTTTTTTGTTACCTCCTCCCACCTCCCAGTTTGGAACGTGAATCTCGACAGAGGCTACATACATGATCACGAGGAAGTTCAAGGACTGAGAGTCTGATGACTACAGGTCAAAGAGTTCCTGAGGTCACAGATAGACCCAAAGGTTCCATTCCAGACTCATCACTGTGGTCCGCTGCAGGTGTAAAAAAAGAACCACATTTCCACTTGCAGTGGGCAATGTGTAAATAAGAAATGATTTCTGCTTAGCAAAGCTTTAAAATATTAAAGGGGAACTGCAGGGCTATTTTTATATTTAAGGGTTAGAAAAAATCAGCACTGTGCATTTCAAACCACAATTAAAGTAAAATGTACACAGTAACGTGTAAAACCTCCAATTTACATCACAAAATAGACACAGTTTCCAGGTGTGCACAGCGCCATGTTCTGCGATTCAGAACGAGGCAACAAAACTTCTAGTCTAAACTTCTAAAACTTCTAGAATACATCACTTTTAATCCCTTAAAGATATTACTTTCAATTTTGAGACAGTTTTGATTCGTGGCAACTCGAATGTGGGTTTGCGACAACATGGTGACTTACAGTACCTTCACAAAGTTCACGATTTTGTGCTTCATTTCGAAATTCGTAAAATGTTTCTATGAACATCAATGAGTTTATTTTGTTACAGAGATTTAATAACAGAGAAATTGGGACTGCAGGTGCCCCTTTAAGTATATACTTGTTGCACTGCTTCCTTACAAGTCTATTGGGAACATAGTGAGCCCCGGTTCTTGTGGTGTGATGAAATGTTGTCCAGCTAATCCTGACACTGGCTGGAGATGATGGGAGTATATTCATGAAGAGCAGTAGGGTGAGCATCAGGGGTGCATTCCTGTGTCCCTTAAGCACCCTGTTCGCATCAGGCTGGGTCTGGAAAAGGACAGCAGCTGTGCAGTGTCGGGACAACCCAGCGCACACAGGCCCAGTCAGCCCTGATGTTGCCAATTAACGCACATCTGGAACGATTTGTGCACTCTGCTGCGCTCAATTTTTAGTGAGCGTTCAGCAAACAAACATTTGAGATTCTGATTAGAACCATAAGGTAATGTCACTGAAAGATCGTTTAAAAGACTGGGCTTTTAGGGAAGATTTTGGTGTATGTTTTTTTTTATTCCTCATTTTACTTCGCGGTATTAGATCTGTAATTTTGCCTTTATATTTTAGTAAATTTGGGAATTCAGCCTGAATTCCTGTTACCGGTCCTGTGCAGAGGAATGGAAAATAGCCAAGCTGTAGTCTTCTGCAGTGCCTTCTCAGTGCTGAAGAAGATATACGGTCTGGCCTGCAGGAGTTTTAAGAGACTTTTTTTAGGGCAGAGCATGTGTCTTGTAGTGTTTCTAGCTGCATTGTTTTACTCCTTTTTAACTACAAATCCATATTGTTAAGAAAACCTTCTCTAACTTTTCACAGGAATATGCCTTTCACAGCTGTGATTGAATGATCTGTGCTTTATAACAGAGCCAGGTTTATTTATCTTACTGTGGCCTGCTTTTTTTATCTGAAACAAACAGTCGTTATTGAATTCTTGTTTTCCTTATTCCAGTAGTTCCCAGTAATTAATTCCACAATTTCACTTTCGTGGGAATTAAAAAAATCTGCTAGCCCCTGGCAAGGATCCTTCTGCGTAGATTTTATCTGGGCCACATGGCACACACACTGTATTGGGGTTGGACGGTTCCTGCCTGTCTGTTGGAGGGAGGATTTGTTAATAAACGATTTTCTGCTTCGCTTTCTGAAACTGAACTCTGGCGATCGTAAACACTTTATGTCCTACTCTAACCACAAACTCAAGTAAGCCAGTTAGTGTTGCAGGAAATGAAATATGCACCAAAATGAAGACTGCCACACTTCCCTGTACTAGACACACACTTTTTTCTTTGTTTATCCTCAAATCTTTTATTTTAATCTAAAGGCTTATTAAATACAGGTTTATTATGTCCCTTAGAGCCCCCAAATTGGAGGTAGCAAGGGGGTTGTGGTGCAGAGGTCAGGGGTCAGAATGTCTATGCCTTCCTTAGGATACATGCACTTGGTGTAATCATCCCATTTATTCTTTATAAGAATTTAAGGACGTGAGAGACATTCGAATGAGCCATTCAGCTCATCTAAGTGATTAAAGTAGATAATTGATTGGAGATGTTCATCCTGCTCTTTATTGAAAGAAGCCATAATATCATCCAACAAAGTGGCGATTCAGCTTGATTCAGGGCCCAAAAACTCTTTGTGTAGAAAATCCTTTCCTGTGCTCAGTGTTTAGTGCATTTCCATGCAGATTCCACTTGTATCCATTGGTTCATGTTTCATTGTTGATTCTGAAAAAGGTCATCATGTTGACTTTGTCAGTGGATTTGAGGCCTTGAATCATATCTCCTCATGGTCTTCTCTGTTCGAGAC